GGGACCGGGCCGGGCGGATTCCACAGCCGGTGCCGGCGCGCGCCCCGGAGGACGGAGGCGCGTCACCCGCCGGTCCTTCGGTTCTGAGTTTCACATACGACTCAGTTCCCACCAGAGCTATGGACGATTTAGATGGTTTTTGTATGGTTTTTATTCCCTCTGTTTTTCGTTTCTCTCCGCTGGGATTTCAAGAAATGCAGGTCACCGATAATGACACAAAGGAATTTCCTGACGTCGTTAAAAAAAAAAAATCCTCTTGCACATGTTTTTATGGCTTTTTCCTACATTATTTACAATCCCTCAATTAAATGTATTTGTTCATTTTTATTTATTTGGAAACGAATTTTGGGCCTTCTAATTAGTTGGCACTGATCATTGCACTTCCAGAGAAAAATGGAATAAGGACTGACTGCGCTTTTCTCCTGAACTGTGCCAGCAGCCACGCCGCGCCTAAAAGGTTGGATCTACTCACCTTTTATTATCCCACAGGACGCTTAACACTGAAGTACGCGAAATATTAATCTCAGAAAAAATATATGGCAACAGAATCACCTCCGAATCAAGCAGAAGACTAACAGCAAAAACAATAAACGCGATTATAATTCTGAGATGACACAAGGTCTTTTTTTTCCATCCAACACAAGTCTCTTTCAGGAGGGCCAAAAACAGAGTAGGACTTTTTAGACCTTGTAGAGCAAACCAGCTCCGTAAAAACGGGAAACGGGACGGTGGGAGAAAGATGGATAGGCAACGACCTTAAATCCAATACAGAGCCCGAACCTTTTGTAGGTTAATTGAACATTTCCACTGACTGCTAACCTTAAATTCGAGGAGAACAAGCTAAAAAAGAAAAATAGAAAATGAACACTGGGTCTGAAGGGCTGTGAGCTGTTAATGACTCTGATATTCGTTTTGCTCTACGAATTCTGTTCGAATTCAGTATTTTATGTTCACATCTACAAATCCACAAATAAGGAGCCGAGCGCCTCTTTATTGTCCACTTTTTTCTTTTCAATGCAGATAGATCTCTACGGGTCGGAAACGGCTGCAAATCTTACCAAAATGCGCGCTAATATTTTCGATACTGACAAACGAATTAAAGCTCAACCATAGTAAAAGCCTAAACATGTAGAGAATATACCGAGACTTTGGGAAATCGAACACGCCTTGTATTTTATAACAGGAGCAGAAACAGTTGAATGCCTAAATGTGTGTGTCAGGTTGTATTTCTGTGTTTTGTACATTTAGTGACATTTAGTACATAGTGAGCATAGCAGCATACGTTAGATGACAAAAGTCTGAATACAGCTTAGATTATTAAGAGTGCCAAATTGTGAGTAAATCAAGAGTTAGACTCAGAGGAGAGGAGCTGAACAAACATATTTATATCAAATAATTCTTTGGTTTCTTTTTAAAAATAATTTAAGTGTCAAATTATTGCTTCAAATATGTTTCATTTTGTAGTTATTTGTCCTCAGCAATAATCTACTTGCTTCCTCTTTATTAGCTGATTTGCTAGAATAAAAAGCAAATGTGGGGGATAAATCCTACATTTGGGCTCATGTTTTATCACATCCAAACTAATCCTGCTTACATTAGTGAGAGCGTTTCATTTTCAGGACAGGGAGTGTTTGGGACTGGGAAACTGCTGGAGTGGAAGAGTCATGACCTGAACATTTTTTGGGGCCTATCTCTGTCTCACAAAGAGACAGAGTGGTGTGGTGGGAGAGGAAAAATACATACACATACACATCCCAGTGTCCAGCCAACAAAGAACACCCATCCTGAGTTTTAGAAAAAGACTGGTCCGGTATGAAGAGGACCAAGACATGAGCCCACTGTTGCTGGAGCCTATCCACAAGACAACACTGCTTATTTAGTTATGCTTAAAAAAAATAAAAAATAAAATGTATGTAAGGTTTTACATTCATTAAATAAAAATATATGCGTTCTTTTGCCATAAAACACGACCTCTTGTTTTTGTCTCCTGATATTTTCACTCTCCAGTTGAATCATCTTTCCTGCTTTGCATAAATCTCTGCATCCACACCACCGCTATCATCGTTGCACTTTTTCCCACATGTTTCTTTTCTTGTGGAAAGTTTTTGAAGAGTAGAAGTTTTGTTTTTTAAAGGTGAATGCAGAGTAAAGGCCACGCAGCACTATCAGCACACAGCCACTCCACACGCCCCCCCAATCCCCTCCATCCGTTTAAGGTGCTGACACACACATTTCAAGACCCATTTTCACATACCACACACACACACACACACACACACACACACACACACACACACACACACACACACACACGCACACG